GAAACGTGTTTGGGGAACCCCCCAAACTTTACCCTGGTCTATGTCTGCATTTCAGGTCCCCATAACGCGAAGCTGTCCGGGGAAAGCAGCGTATTCTGGAGGGTTTCGGGTTTTACCAGTGGAGGGTTCACCGCGGTTTGCTGCAATTTGGGTCCCCGCCATTCACCTGCAGAGTTGGATGCAGTTCTCACGGTTCTTCGAGGTTTCGGGGGTGTCTACGTAGCCTGAAGCAGAAATCCGGCTCCGAGCCTCAGCTCTCTCGGAGCTCCGAGGTCCCGGCCCTGGGCCTTTCCTCTCCTGGGCCCCGGGCCGAGCTTGTTCCCATGCAGGTTCAGCTGCAGCACTCGGAGCGGGAGCTTGGCCAAGGCGGCGGCCAGGGAGCTGGCGCCCTCGTCGCCTCGGGCGAAACTCTGTACCGAGCTTCTCCCAGATTGTGTCCATTCGCTGTGCTCGTTCCAAAGACGACTACAGAGCGGTTCCAAGCAAATTCTGTGGCAGAGACTTCACTTCGGGGAAGCAGAGATCCAGCAGGCATCGGAAGAGGTCTCGAACCAGGCCGCTTCTTTGAATCAATTCTGTGCTGCGGGCAAGAGACGGAGGCCTACGAACTCTCACAGGAATCAAACAAAGTTGGGCCCCGAAAGGTGTCAGGGACTTACACGCATACACTTCTCAAGGGGGCGTGTTGAAGCCATGCACTGAATCTTCAGGAAGTGTTGTGGCTGAAGCTAGACACACGAGATCCTATGCAGGGGACTCTGTAAATACATGTCAAGGAACATAAGTGTCCAAGCAAAAAGTTACAATTTGGGTCCCCGCCATTCACCTGCAGAGTTGGATGCAGGTTCTTCGAGGTTTCTGGGTGTCTAGCTGTTGGGGGCAACCTGAAGCAGAAATCCGGCTCCGAGCCTCCGCTCTCTCGGAGCTCCGAGGCCACAGCTGTGGGCCCTTTCCTCTCCAGGGCCCGGGCCGATTTGGTTCGAGGTCAGGTCCAGCCACAGCTCTTGGAGCGGGAGCCTTGCGGCCAGGGCGCTGGCGCCCTCGTCGCCTCGGGCGAAACCGCTCTGCACCGAGCTTTTCCCAAAGCAAGCAAATTAATATCTGCGGCAGAGACCTCAGGGAAGCAGTTTGAATCAAAGCTGTGCTTCGGGCAGGAGACTGGGCACCTACGAATCCGTGCCTGAATTTTGCAGGGTTGACACTTTGTCCTTGCCTCCCGACTCATCCGCTGCTCTATCCTTCATTGTGGCTTTGGGGACCGTGGTGCCCAGGGCGCACCATCTACAAGCGGCCACGGCCGCACTGGGTGTGGGATCAGCATCTCCCCACTAAGTTGCCGACTTGCTTCCGAGGAACCCCCGCTGGGATCCCCGGCCGATGCTGTTCTCATATAAGTCCAGCCGCAGCTGTCGGAGCCGTTTGGGCAGCGCAGAGGACAAGCTGCTGGCGCCCTCGGGGCCTCGCACTGAATACACTCGAGCAGAAGCCCCCGGAATCCTTCAATGAAAAATACGGAATCAGATAATTGCCGGACCCTCGAGATTGAGTCAGCTAGGCCATTAGCTGTCAAACCCCGTTGAAATGGATTCATTCCGCTGGCTGGTCGGGCTGTACACCGCCTCTGCTAGCTCACAAATTTGGTCCGCCGCATGGTTTAATTATGACAACAAATCCGAACCGCGCAGTCCGGGTCCCTCGCCCAGGCGGCTTCCATCCAAGTTGAGCGCCAGCTTCTCGGTGCAAAGCAGGGCTCCTCCGGAAAGAAGCCGACTCGCCCGGCGACCGCAGCATTCTTGCGTATGCAAAAGAGGTCCTTGGAACGCCTCCCAGTCCGCGGCGACCAACGCTGTTCCTGAAAGGTCGATCTCCACCTCCGCCGCGTGGGCCGTCTGCTTCATCAAACAGAAGCGGAGCACACCTGTGGGAAACCGGAGCTGAAGCCATGGGGTCTCTGTCTCCATGGGTGTGTCTTCGGCTGCTGACCACTGTGGATGTGCAGGTGGCCTCGCAGCATCGGCTGCTGCTGCGCTTCGGCGAAGGCTTCTCTCCAGGCCGGCGCCTGGGCACCCGCCAACCGGGCCTGTCAGCCGCGGCTCAATATATGTATAATCACTCGCACCATCGTCTACCGAGAATAGCAATAGCAATAGCGCTCACGGGCACGATCTCCGCGTGGCACCTCTGCGGCCAGGAACTCCTGCATTCGCAGGTGGTAAAGCTGCACCTGGCAAAGGTGTGAACCAATTCGAACTTCTGACCCGGTGAATCTCCAAGCACGGTTTGCGCCACCGCTTGGCCAGCCGGCTCGAAGAATTTCAAGTTCCCGAGCTGCGCTTCCTGGAAGACCACCTGGATGCAAAAAACAGGCGTCAGCGAAACAGCACATAAACCGTGTCAGCTGTGCATGCCTGAAGGGTTCCAGTTGCGACCGCAGCACACCGCAGATGGCCAAAGGAACGAGTCACATGCAGTTTTGCGCTGGTACTTTAAGTATCATGTGTTGCAGCCACATGACAAGACACTGTGTGAACATGCATGGGCATCCGTCTATCCAATGCATCTAATTACTTGGGACTCAGGCAGGCCCTGCGGGCGCTTGTGCAGCTCGTGCCTGGCTGCTGAAGTCCGACTCCAACAGCAACCGCTGGCCCGCCTGCAGCGAGAGCTCAAGCAGAGTCCTGAAAGTTCTCTGCGGGTGCCCGGACGAGTTGCCTGGAGCTTGGCCAAGCACAGCGGGCCCAGCTCTGCTCGCAGCCCCTTGCAGCTTGTCCGCTCTTCTGCCTGGCTCTGCCGATACACTGGTAGACTTATCCGACTTGCGCCGATCCAGACATAACGTCTGGTTGCGACAGATTCGCACGAGTCTGTACCGTTTCATGGACTCACCTGCTTCAGCAGCATTCCCACTGCGTGCTCCATCAGCACCAGCTCTGCCGTGGCGCCGTCGAGATCTTCCTCCTGCAGTCAGCACGTGATGTGCATACTGATTCTAGTCTCTGCCTGCAACCTCGAGAGAGGGCGGGAAGGGAGAGGCAGGGAATCAGAAGCCAGACAGCAGATGCATTTGATGCTTCGGTCCTTCTGCCTCCGAGGATATGTGCCTCTGCCGGGCTTGCGTCACTGTCTTCTCGTAGCATGGATGTTACATTGAAAATTCAACGTGTAGAAGCCTCCGCCCGCCGCCCCCCCCGCTGCCCCTGGCTCAAGACTCTGCGCAGCTGAACGGGGGCGGGGCCCAGGATGCTGGCCATCAGGGGCGTCTGCCAAACCTGCGCTGGGAAAATCTGGGAAAACCCCTCTGATGGCATGCAAGAACTGAGACGGCGATACTGCGGTGCCCAGAGGCCCCGCTGCGTGCGACGATCTGCTGAGTCGAGGGACCGCTTCGGGGAGCGCTCGCAGCTCCTCCTCGCCGAACTTCGAGATCCTGCAAAACGAGGGCCACGTGCTTCGATGATTTCCCATCTAGTTGAGTAGTTGGCGGGCCTCGAGGCTACGGGAGGACTGAGCGGCAGGATCTCCAGCGGCGCGAAGCCGAGCCTTGTGCACGGCATGGAAGGCCCCGGGCCGAAGCTCCGAAGATCGCGCTCCACGACAGCCAAGGCCAGGGCTGCAGGGACAGCTCATCCTGCACTGTCATCTCCGCCAGACTCGCAGGGCAGCGTGGGACCTCCGTGTCCAGGACCACCCGGAAGCAACCTGAGAGTCTGCACGTCTGCGCACAGATGCATGCGACGGCAGCGAGGTCCAAGTTTTCGCAGAGAGGCGGTCGAGAGGTAGGACTTCTCTCGGTGGCCCGTCGCTCCCGAGCTCGACCCGATCGCCTCAGCAAGCAGGGAAACAAGCAAGAGAGCCGCGCGCGAGAGAGAGAGAGAGAGCAAGCGGCCTGGCCTGGCTCCAGGTCACCCATCAGGAAGATCCCGGCCGACGTCTCACGGAGGCTCCTACTTTGTCGCTGATCTACTTTGTGCTTAAAAACGATGCGGCTGCTGGCTGAGCGCACTCGATCTGAGGCCTGCACACTTGCACGTCTTCGAATTTAGGGTCGTCGGCGGCTCTTTTGTCGGTCTTCAGGACGGCGCGGCACGGAAAGGCGATTGTGGGCCAATCCAGCATCTTGTCGTAGTTGATGGGCCTGAAGTCCTGGCACGTCGCACGACAACGCCCCGACCCTCCGCGCGCAGGGAGCGGGCGCCCTCTCGGTCCTTCCACTCTTCGCCGTCGGCCCGGCGCACCACCACGCGATGATCCTCCTCCGGATCGCCGCCGGCGGCTCGGAAGGCCCGCTCCAGCATCACCTGGGCAGCGAGGCGGGCGTCGTAGTCCAAGGACACCGCGGCGGAGAAGACAATCTCCGGGACAATCTCCGGACCCTGTCGGGCAGCCACCACTCTCAAGTGACGGCTTCTCAAAGCTATAGCTTATAGCTCCTTATGCAAGGTGTACGCGTGGGCCTTCCGGCGCACCTTCAGGGAGTGCACCCCGGGCTCCAGGCCGTTCACCTCCTTCTTCTGTAGCAGAATGCCCTGGCCAGTGGCCCAAAAGCTCTCTGCCGACGACTCTGGGGAGCCGGGCTTTCTCCGCTGCGCCCGCTGCGCCTTGTCGCAGGAGAGGACGGTGCCAGCTCCCAGGCTCTGCCCAGTGCCGTCGTGCAGCCGAAGGTGGGAGGAGACCGGCAGCGGCTCCTGCGACGCTTCGGGTCAAGGCGCGAAAGCGCTGGGGCGTGCCCGTGCAGAGACGCATTCAGCTGCAAGTGTGGAGACGACAACGCAAATGATCCAAAGATGCCCATTTCGGCAGCCGATGCGGCAAATGGATGTGATGCCGCTTGAAACTCGCACGCCACAGTCAGTCGCAGCTTGCCGGCCTGCCTGGGTCAGCAGCGACGTCTCGGAGAACTGGCCGAGCACCACGGATGCCGCCGACTCGCGAGCTCTGCCGTCGCTGCCCAGCACCCTCAGCCCAGAATGGAGAGCAGCTTTGATGAAAGTTCCGAATCCTTAGGCCTTCCACAGGCTCGCTGAGGTCCGGGCTCGTTGGTCCCGGACGGCCGAGAGGCCATGATGGTGCAGACGCATCGGCGGCTGTTTGCCCTGGGCCGGAGGGTTGACAACAAGCAGCCTGTGTGCTTTAATAATTCAGCGTACGCAAAATTGCTGGCCGAAGAGCCGCAGCCACTGCTGGAGCCAATTGAGGATCCGTCGCCGGTCCATGCCGGCTTCGTCCAGGCCGTCCAAAACCAGCACGAGCCGCCGATCGTCTGACACAACAGTTTCTCGGGCCACGTCAAGTCAGCCGACAAGGAGCCTGGCGCTGCGCCTCTCCAAATCTCGTCGCTGTCGCTGCTGAAGGCTCGCTTTGCCCAGGCCTGAAGCCTCAGCGTCTGCACAGGAATATCCCTTCAAATACAATTCCAACCCTTGCGCATCGCATGCCAGATTCTACAAGAGGGAAAGCTGGCGAGAGCTGAAGTGCAGAGGAGTGGCAGGTCAACTCCTTCTTCCTGAGAAACAGCATCGACTCTGTGGGCATCGGTCGCAACACCCAACATGCAACATTCGGGGAAACAGCTTTGATCATCATATCTAGCTCGTGTTCTTCGCGGCTTACACGGTGTGGTGGTGTGGCAAGTCAGACTATCAGTCAATGCACGTGGATAGCTAGTTAGAATGGATAGGTAGATAGGTAGATCGGCAGATAGATAGATTGAAAGAGTGATAGGCAGACAGATTGATAGACAGATGGATCGCTGGGTAGGTAGCAAGATAGAGAGGTAAATGGGTAGGTCGGTAGATAGATAGGTAGATAGACAGATAGATAGATAGATAGATAGATAGGTGGCTGGCTAGATGGTAGAAATATAGGTAGATAGATAGAGCGATCGATAGATGGATAACTAGAAATGTAGGTAGGCAGGTAGGTAGGTAGGTAGGTAGGTAGGTCGGTCGGTCGGTCGGTCGGTAGGTAGGTAGGTAGGTAAGCAGGCAGGCAGGCAGGCAGGCAGGCAGGCAGGCAGGCAGGTAGGTAGGTAGGTAGGTAGGCACATACATACATACATACATACATGCATGCATGCATGCATGCATGCATGCATAACTACGAATACAAATAA